TGCCCCCCCCCCCACAGAGTGTTAGCCTCCATCTAAAAGCGGCCGCCCCCCCACAGCCGGCAGGGAGCAGCTTTAAGCTAAAAACACACACACACACACACAGGTGTCCATCCAAAGCTCCTGAACAGCGTCCTTCCCCAAAGGAAAACGGTGCAAATCGGCCGACGCAGCTGCGTCCTTTTGGGCTTCTACGACAAAAATTGCACCACATTGGAGGGAAGTAACTAATGAAATGTAACAAATGACAAAACGAAAATCAAAAATAGATTAAAAATAAATACAAAAATTTAACGTAAAAAAAGAAGAAAATAAAAAATATATAAACAAATAAAAATTACACAAATTAAAATGAAAAAATATATATATATATATATATATATATATATATATATAAAATGAAATAAATTAAATAAATGAAAATGAAAAATCCATTTAAAATAAATAAAAAAACAAATGAATGAATAAAATAAATGAAAATTAAAAATAAATGAAAAACTAACTTAAGAAATGGGGCATTTGACGTTATGACTTTGTGCCTGGGTAAAATACCAGAATCTGTCCCTTACACATACAAATTGCTGTTAAAGATTCTCTTTGGTGAAAGGATGTAACCCCAACATGGGTCCAAACTGGCTCCCAACAGGCCCCACTGGGGCTCATAATTCCAAATAAAAAGTTAAAAAAACATATCATAACCCATATGGGGCCAGCCGGTGGGCCTGGGGGCCCAGCAGAGGGTACAGGGAGCAGCCCCTACCTCGATCAGGAAGTCTCCCGTCCGGAGCCCCGCCTGCCATGCCACTCCGCCCTCGTCCACCGACTCCAGGTACTGCAGGGCGGGGAAGGCCGGCGTGGGGGTGAACTCCTCGATGGGCGTGTCGGCTGCAGGGTGGAGAAAAGAGGGAGAAAAGGGCTTCAGGCTCACAAAACTCCACAAACCGGGGCTTCAGGACAAAGCAGGAGCTTCAAACTAGAGCAAGACGTTTTTCTGTCTGTTCTTTATGCAGGAAAAGCAGATTTTTAAAACATTTCTACCCCCTCAGAGGAACCATGTTAGCCACATTAGCTGCTACGAGCTGATGGGGAAACGACCCGCTCAGAGGGACCATGTTAGCCACATTAGCTGCTACGAGCTGATGGGGAAACGACCCGCTCAGAGGGACCATGTTAGCCACATTAGCTGCTACGACCTGAAGTGGAAACCATGTTAGCCACATTAGCTGCTACGAGGGGCCCTGTTAGCCACATTAGCTCTTCCGAGCTGAACTCTCCGGGTCCGGAAAAGCCCTGCACCTCCCAGTCCAACATTTCTCTCTATTCTTGGGAAATAATGGAGAATTCTGAATGCTAACCCCGACACAAACCGCCCCTCAGCCTGCAGCCATGATGACAGCTGGAGGAAAGAGCAGGATTCTCAGAGTTCAAGGCCTTCTTCTGGCTGTTCTACTCCTAGCGACTCTGCCTGTGCTCTCTTTCAGTTAAATGGTGGAAAACCTCTGGCGTTGGAGAAAAAACTCGTCAAAAAGCTCTTCAAGATTAACTTCCTGAGAGTCGAGCTTTATTTGGTTTGTGTTTCCTTCAGTAGTTTACATGTTTGTATCTAAAATGTGTATTTATGTATTTAAAAATGGTTCTGAAGGCCCAAATGTCTTGATTACAACATTTTAATTTGACAAAAAGCACACGATTGGTTGAAAATGTATAAAAACATATTGTTTTAGATTAAAAAGATTTCTGCTATGAGGCCAGGAGGTCAAAGTATCATGGTAAAGAGAGGCAGGAATGCAGTTTTCCTGGTCTGAGGATGCTGGGACTGGGAGGTTAAAGGGAAAGACGAGCTGGACCACACAGAAAGCTGTTGTTCTGCAGCACCGAATCTCTAAAAACGAAGCAAATATTCCAGAAGGCGTCCGTTTGAGCCAGGCTGAAAAACCCCTCTCATTTCAAATTCACATAAAGCCACTTAATTATCAAAGTTTGTGACTGAAAAAGAAAGGAAAACAATAGAAAAAGAGTCACAGTGAGGAATCGGGGGGGGTCGAATCATCTTAAATCAATCTTAAAAAGCAGCGACGGGGCTCCTGTTTTGGCAGTTTAAGCCTCATCCGGCTGGAACTCCAGAACCAGAACCTCTCAGTCCTGTTCAGAGTGGCCCTTTGTGGGACTCATTCCGAAAAATCTGAGTTGAGGAGGGTCGGTGTGATGAACTGCTCTGAAAGTGAAAGCTTGATGCTTTCATTCATCCTCTTTTTTCTCAAATTTATCGACTCTAATCTCAATGGTTTACGGCTTGTTAAACTGTGAAGTTCCGAAGAAGAAGCTGGACGGCTACTGACCCTTTAAGGCCCTTTAAGGGGTAAGGAGGAGGTCTGGCTTTTTGGGGGGTGGATATTAAGACCTCAGAGGCAGTTTCCCCCCCTAAAAAAATCGGTTTGGGAAGTTTAAATGCACCCAGTTTCCCCGGATGTGTCCCATCAGCCCAAACTGGAGGAGAAGCTGCTGAAAGTGGGACTGAAGGCCCAAAGAAATGCGCCCGGCGCCTTTTTTCCGGGTAAAGCAGGGGCAGTGGTGCCCCCCTCCCCCCCCCCCCCCCCCTGCAGCCCCCCCCCGCCCCAGCTCGCTCTCGGGGAGGTTAAAAAAAACCAAACCAAACCAAAACACTGCAGCTGGGAGAAACCAGCGGTGACAAGTGACACTTCCGATAACTCAGCGTCTTACTGGGAGACACGGTCCGAGCGCGCGCGCGTGTACGTGCGCGCGCGTGGAGCCGCGATCTCGTGGGATCGTGGCGGCAGCGTGACACTGTGGGCAGAGAGGGAGAAGGAGGGGAGCGCGGAGAGGGAAAGAGAGGGAAAGAAAAACGGGCAGCGGCGCAGAGCGCGCAGGAGGACGTGAGCTTATGTGACAGCTCGAGCATCAGCGCGTGCTCGCCCCAGCGCGGGATAAGCTCGGCTGGGTCAGCTCCCTCGGGGTGATGGCAGCGCGTGTCAGGATGAATAGAGCATTCCTCTTCTTTTTCAAGCCGAATCCCCCCCTTTAGCCCCCCCCCGCCCCCCCCCTCTCTCCTTTTCCCTCCCCGCGTCCTCCGAAAACCAGGAGCGTCTCGCGCACGGGTCCCCGAGCAGCCGACCAATCCAGCGGTTGTGGAATGCAACGTGGATTGTGACACGAGCGGAATCGTCATAGAAACAGACGCAGCAGCTCCAAGCGGCTATTTTTAGAGCCGGTCTCACAGCTGGTGAAACACCAAGCTGCCCGAATACTGTGGAGCCTCCACATACGAAGAGATTCGTATGTCGATTCAAATTTTCCCACCAGAATACACTGTAATTCCGATAATTGGTTCCAAAAAGCTACGATAACTCCTTAATAAATACTGCAGATAATTACACATAGCAATAAAACACATGACTTATAGAAGAGAGATGTAAAAATAAATAAATGATAAAGAAATAATCAATAAAAAGTTTTTATATTGGCACTTTGCCTCAGAGACTGAATGGAGGTAGAGGTGGAGACGAGATACAGGACGTACCCTAACTTACTCTGACTTTCATTACCTCAACTTTAAACTGGGTTAGCCTATTCGTTTTTATTTAATTGTTATATTTTATACATATTTTGTATGACTTCGACGTCATATTTGATCGAATTTCACTTTGGATGTTGGAAAAGTCGCATGTTTAGGCCGTCGTAAGTAGAGGTTCTGCTGTATGCCTCTCGTGTCACAACCAAGCGCGTGGCCATCCAAAAGCACGTCCCGTTATGTCCGTGGGAGCCCCGGAGGCTGGAACCCAACCCTGACCCTGGACCCCCCCACCCCAATAAGTTGGGAAACTTATCCGCGCGTCGCGGCGCGCGGGAGGACACACAATCGACAACAAAACAACAAGAAAAACACAGAAAAAAGCAGCCGGCAGTGCTCCTACCTTTGGCCCCCCGCAGGACGAAGCCGAAGCCCTCGTTCTCCTTCTTCTGGAGCACCACCGTCTTCTCGTCCACCACGCAGTCGCTGTGGAGCAGATGGCGCGCGGAGCGGCCGTTAGCGCAGCCCATCATCCGCAGCATGGCCACGGACGCCCTGCCCGCGTGGAGGTTCATGCTGCTGGGGGGGGAGCTGGTCCGGCCAGGGCTGGGGGGGCAACCCCGACCCCACCCCGCCCCACAGCCGCCGCCTCCGACCGGGCTCTATCCCTATCAAACGGTAGGACGGCGGCCCGGCGACAGCATCTCCGGAAAAGAGACAGCCCAAAAGAATGAGAGGTGAGGGGGGAACGACGACCAGGGGGAGAGGGGGGGGGGGGATGCCTCCCCTCCCGGTCCCTGCGCCGCTGCCGCGTCTGCCGCTTTTGCCGCCGCAGCTCCTGCGCGGAGACGCGGGCTTTGCCGCGCGGTTGCCGCCTCTGCCGCGCGGTGACCGCCTCTGCCGCG